GGGGTGGACACACTAGAAAAACCTGTGGTGGCTTTGCTCTAACAAAAACACAGTTGTAAAAAAAAAAAATTGTTTTTTCAGTTCCATCGAATTTCGAAGAGCACTTTTCATACATTCTATGAATGTTTAGTTCAGACAATATGCAATATGCATATTTATGCAATATGCAATAATTTAACTAACATATCATTTTTCGATTTCTCGTTACGTGTAAATACTATATATGCATCGGAAAAGAAACATTATGTTTAGTTAATTTTTAGTTCCCCGGTAGGACAGCGGTAAGTCTTCGGATTTACAACGCTAAAATCAGGGGTTCAATTCCTCTTGATGGACACAGCAGATAGCCAGATGTGGCTTTGCTATAACAAAATACACACACACATACTTAATTATTACATAATAAATAACAGTTTCATAAAATACATATTTGGATAAAACTGTATTGATTTTCTTTCTAGGTGCAAGCCCCCACAGGAGTGAAATTTTTCCATTTCAACCCATGGCGTTAGCTGAGATTCATTTGTTGATTAAAGTAGAAGCAATAGTCAGACACAATCTTCTTAGTCACATTATGGTTTCTGTAGACCCCGTCTTTGAAAAAAGATAATTTTAAGTTATCCTGATTGTTGGTTTTGAATTTCGCGCAAAGCTACACGAGGGCTATCTGCGCTAGCCGTCCCTAATTTAGCAGTGTAAGACAGTGTAAGGCTGCTAGTCATCACCAGCCACCGCCAACTCTTGGGCTACTCTTTTACCAACGAATAGTTGGATTGACCGTCACATTATAACGCCCCCACGGCTGAAAGGGCGAGCATGTTTGGTGGGAGAGGGATTCGAACCCGCGACCCTCAGATTGCGAGTCGAGAGTCCTAACCACCTGACCATGCCGGGCCAGTTATCTTGATCTCTTTTATTGTTCCCATGGACAATTATTTGTGTTATACAGCACGGTTCTTACGTTTGTTTTTTTGAATTTTCATACAAAGCCATACAAGAGCTATCTGCACATACCCGACACTAATTGTGAAATAATAGACCAGAGGGAAGGCAGTTAGTCAACAGTACACACCGCCAACTCATGGGCAGCTCTTATCTGATGGAATAATGGAATTTGACCGTTACTATCACAGCACATCCACAGCCCCAAAGTGCTAAGCTCGTTTTTTATTTTTTGTGGCAACAGGACGCGAACCTTTAACTCTCGAATTCAAAATTTGAGCGAGTTAGCCATTAGGCCACGTAAGACCCAGATACTGAGTCGTTTCTCAGAGAGCCATAGATTATCAAGTTTGCGTTTTTTATTATCAAGTGTCAGCCCAGAAATAGTTAGTTATTTGTATTTCTATCACAAATTAAGTTTAAGAATAGCAACAAGTGTAACAAACCCTGATCAAACTAACGGCAATTAATTCATTCATGAAACTTATCATCAATCAAAACTAATGGCAATTAAATCATTCATGAAACTGATAATCAATCAAACCTAACGGCAATTAAATCATTAAATCATTCATCAAACTGATCATCAATCAAACCTAACGGCAATTAAATAATTAAATCATTCATCAAACTGATCATCAATCAAAACTAACGGCAATTAAATCATTCATCAAACTGATCATCTCCTTTTTTTCTCCTCTAGCTTGCGAAGTTGAGCTACTCACAAATGGCTTTTATGAATGATTCTCTGGATGATTATTTAAACTTTGACCGAAAAACCTTGAGCGACCTTGAACAGATCCTACCAGATGTAAGCCACATGATTTTTCTTTAAAGCACTGTAGGAGAAACACTGTAGAGAGAAGATTATTTTTTCTAGACTTACAGAGTTAATCACAGAACATGTTCAAAGTGTTGTCAGACCAATAAGATAGGTGTAAACAATCCAGGCTAACTTTCTTATAACATTCTAACATTCGTCTGAAACACGTTGTTTTAGACTCTTCGTTACAAATGTTTTTTTTTTTGTTGTTGTTGTTTTTCTGAAACATGACGGTATTGGCTGGTGGGTCATGCAGAATATACACCTTCACAGGGGTTTTGGTATATTCGCTTTGGTAATAATAATATCTGGGTCTCGGTAAGATCATTTCAGACCTTACCTAGACCCAGATATTATGATCTTTTGCTGTTCAGTGTTTCAACAAGGAAGGTTTAAAGGTAACAAAAATTTACTGTGTGATCAAAATTGACTTTTAGTCCAAAGTGTCTCAACTGATTCGAATACTGCTCGCATGTACAACAATATACAGTATATAGTCATTTCCATTGATATTTATAATTGTATTACTCTTCACGTCCGGATTAATTTAATGGTATAACTTGCTAAACGTTGTAACAATATTTTGATAACAGAATATATCTATATATATATATATCATTATTCTCATGTGAGAATAAGTGAAGCAAGGATGGTGACAATATAGTTGTTTTCCCATGAATTATCACCTGGTGTGTATTTCATGAACTATTTTTTTCGACAGATTCGTTGGTCGGAGTTAATGCGCAACCTGCTGAGTCAGGCTAACATCACTGTTGATGAAATTGATTTACACCTGGTGTTACACTGTGAAGACTTTCTTAGGAATACGTTTGCTCTCATAAATGATACGTCTCCAAGGTAAATATACGTGCGTTAACCCTTATCAGTTCGTGTGCATATAACGTGGCCCCTCCCCTTCTGTGTGACTGATATGTTGAAATATGACGTAAATCTGTTTTTAATGCAATAACTAATGACAGAAGAACAATTTCAGTCTAAGCAGAACATGCATCAGCGCCACTCAAAGTTTGCTGCAATAGATCATATCGTGTTCAGACAATGCAAGAAATTCAAACGTCATGAGATTAAAGTTAGATTAACGAATACAATTTTTATCATTTATTATTTTACTTTTTCCTAGCGGCAAAAGCCAATATTCTTTATACACTTTTGCGCTTTCTTCAAAGTTCGAAATTGGACTAAATATTTGGCATAATTTGTGAAACCTAGCCAAATAAATTTCACATCATTATTTTATGCAATTATTTTTAGTTAAAAGGTTTATTTCTTTGTATTTTCTTAGTTAAAAAATAAATAAACGAAAAAGCAGTTGTTTTAAACACAAAAGTATGAATTAGTCTTTGCTTAAGATAATCACACCTGTTACAATGAGTTTGTGCGTAAATAAAATATAAACGAAATTTAAGTTTCGCGAAATAAGCTCTTTTCGATTATTCCGTGATTTATTGAATTTAACCTCAGCTGTGGCACAAGAAATTGCCAAATATAGTTAGAGTTTATATTTTTAAATCATACTTATTTTTAAACGTAACAATCAGAAAGCAGCTGGTGATACATTAACACCCTTCAAACTTAGGGTTACAGAGTATTTTACTTGTAAAATATTTTACACACGAACTACGTGAGGTTTTTGCTCAAAAGGTTAACCATGATATCTCTTAGTTTGGAATTATTTTATGTTTGAACATCTCATTCGAAATTATAATTACTTTTTTTTTCCGATCAAGAACTGTGGGGAACTACCTCTCGTGGAGATTTGTCATAAAGTATATGCGTTACTTGGACATTCACTTCCGCCGACTCTATTATGATTTCAAACGAGAAATTCCACACTCTTCCGACGAACGGACGTTCTTTACGCGATGGAAAGAATGCGTTTCTCTGGTTCAAAATAATGGTTTTGGCATGGCACTGGCAGCTCTCTTCGTTCGACATGAGTACACTGAGAAAATCGACAGAGAAGTGGGTCTTCATTTCTGTCACCATTTGTTTAACTCTCCATAGTAACCCAAGTTATATTTCAAGAAAAGAAGAACAAAAAATTTACTTAATTAAACGAAAATCAGTGGTTAACTTAATCTTATTAAGACCTGCAAGGTTGGTTAACGATTTACACAAAACGTTACAATTTGTAAAACGAAATCTAATAATCGAAGACTTTTTTTTTCTCAGAAATAATTAATGAAACATCCAATTATAGAAGTACAAACTGAATATATTAATTCTGGAAAGACACATAGTAATATACAGGTTAATACTAAAACCAAATGAGCAGAACTTGAATTTCCATATATTGATTTACTTTTAAAACCGCTAGGTCGCTACAAAATTTCGAAACTGAGGAAATCGCGACTTTTATGTTTTTAAATATTGATTGCCTAAAACAGCCCAGTCGTATAGGAAAAGCTATATTTATCGAATTATTTTAAAACCTAGTGATTGTAACATAAAAAGCATAGCTAAATAGATCGAAACTTACAAACTATTCATACAAATGGTTTATCGATTACAGATTAAAGAATTAATCGTTGCTGTAAAGTTAGCCTTCAGCCAACTCATAAAAGCCCAGGGTTGGCTCGACAGTGAAACGACTGGAAGGTGTGAAAAGCAGGTATAATGTAACACAATTTATTAGTTCTTTTTGTATTGGAACAAATATATATTTTACCCATTTAAATAATATAGCCCAAAATCCATTTCATTCTCTCTCTCTCTTCCTTTTTTTTGGTTAATTATTACAAAAATACTTGTCTTTTTTTGCTTTAAACTAAAGTGGAGATGATGCTGTTGTCTTTTTCTTGTTGTTGTTATAATACTAGTGTTAAAATTGCTATGCGTTCAGTTGTATTTCTAGATTTGTCTATGATATTTAGAAATTTCAATACCAAAGTAGCGAAAGATAAACAGATAGACACATGTTCGAATGAAAATGTATGCAGTCGTTACACGATATTTTATAACTCGGAATATTTGTTACCAATATATATTTTTATGTATGTATAATACTGAAGAAGTTAGAAAACACTTCTCGGAACATTTAAAACAAAAAAAAATGAATTATCTCTCCTGCATGTTGTTACAGCTAAAAGAGATGAAGGAGAAAATTGCCTACCCGAGCTATATCCTTGATTCTGAGCAGCTCAGCCATGACTATAAGGGGGTACTTATCCTTTTTTGTGTCTATTTGAGTTATAGATATATACCGGCTTGTATTAAATATTGTTTCATACAGCCTGAAGAAAACAGCATAAATTATATTTATATTTAAGATGACCTGAATAAATTTTGAAAGTTAAAGTATGAAAATAATTTGAAATATACATTTTGTAGTGTGTACACTCCGTAAAAAGGTCAGCTACGTTCTTCTCCTTTGTTAGGCTAAATAATTTCCTAGGATAACGGAAAAGAAAGAAAAAACTTTCCGTTTAAAAGGAGAGCCAGAGTAAAGTTCTCATTACGATAAACAATTACGTTTTTTTTTCTATGTCTGTTAATTTTCAATGCAGCTTTTTCCTGCATTGCAGTTTAACAAATCTTGATCTATTTAACAGTTTTACCCTAGCTCTGGTTGTTGTTTCCCATATTGTTAAGGACGTATAATTAGCCTTACTTTACTTCAACAAGATAGATTTTCGTATTAACATCGAATTTCGATAAATTGAACTATATTGCTTATGGAGACTGTGCAATCATAAAATATTACTTCGTAGTCGTTATGAACGTTTTATTTCGAAAAAACATGCTTCCGTTTCTAGGTCTACGCTTAGCATTATTAACTTTCTAATGCACTGAAATCACAGAAATTTTCAAATATAAATACTTTTCAAGCGTATTAATGTTCTTATAATATGATTCGCAGCTGGAAATTAAACCTGAAGATTTTCTGGATAACGTCTTAAGGATGAACCGTTACGAGATGAAAAAAGAATTAGAAAAAATGACCAGGACTGTAGACAAAGAAAAGTATGTACATTTAGTGTGGAATAAACATATGATCATTGATTACTGTTATGAAAGCTAAGTACAGTTGGTAAGTAAGTGTTGCGAAAGATAAATAAAGTTAGTAGTAACCAGGGCCGCCGAGAGCCATAATGGAGGAAGAATTGTTATATGGTACCCCGAATAATTTGCTTCAATTATATTTTACGATACGTAATTTCATGCTAAAGACTTAGTCTTAAATTGACTTCTAAATATATTTTAATGGTTTCCAGAGGTATAATACACGATACTTTTAATTATTCAAACAGTATGTGTGTGTGTGTGTGTGTGTTTTGTTTTAGCAAAGCTACATCGGTCTATCTGCCGTGGCCACCGAGGGGAATCGAACCCCTTATTTTAGCGCTGTAAATACGAAGACTTGCCGTTGTCCCACGGGGGGACATTTTAAACAGAAAAAGTCTTTAAGAAAAAGATTTAATTAAAGTTATAGAAAAGATGTTTTAGCTGCATGTACTGTCTGTACCATACAGAATATGCAAGTCAGCAAGTCACGTGACAACGATCCCCCCCACCTCCCTAGAATGAATGTACCTGTAATAAGAATGTACGTTTTTTATTCGTTTCAACACATGTCAAATATCTTGGCAAAAGCAGGTTACAAGCTGTTATGGTTATTCGTATTCAAAATAAAAAATAAAAGTTAGACTTTTATGTTTTGTAACTTTTAAGTTCGATAAAGTTCGCTAAAAAATACAGGAATAATAATTCCTCTCTCCACGTGTCGCAACTACTAACTACTGTCTTAAAACAGCAGAATGGCCTCTTTACTTAAAAACAGTGCTGTTTTGTTGTATTATGTTTACATTCATTTTCAAAATATAATTAAATCAACTTACGTTTAAGTTCAAGCATTTTAAATCTTAAACAATTAAGAGACATACACTGATTAAAATAATTAATTAATGTTTCTCGATATGGAGTATGCTATTTTTTAATATTTTGTTCTGAGATGTTGACTGCATCATGGTTCCATTCGTATATGAAAAATAAAACACTTTTATCTCTACAGGAGTATTAATACATGTAAGTTGAACCACGCGTACAATGGATTACTCAATTTTTGGTACATCTTCGACAAAAAAGTTAGGGAACTTAAAGAAAAAATATCCATAAAGCTTCTTACATGTTCAAACGTTTCTACTCCCAACCACTGAGACTGATCTGTTAAGAAGTGCAGAAAAAATTCGATTTCATCATGTTTATCATCTGATCTCGTTTCACGTCATAAACAAAAACACAATTTTAAAGGGAAGTTCAAGCTGAACGCCCTCGGGTGGTTGACTGGAAAATCGATTATTTACTTGTAGTGTAACTTTATTTCACTTGGTTTTACACGATAGCCTCCACTCCCTATCGATCAACCTACCAAATATTTGTATACACATTGCTAGACTTTCCAGGTCTGTTACAAATCCCAGCGTATAAAACCTGTTGACGAAAATATTAAAATTTGATTTCCCTTGTATTTCCGGGATTAAGTTAATTGTTTACACATTAAAAATAACTTTTATTTTGTAATAAAAAATCACTTTGACTTGTAATAACGCCAACTCAGTGTTTTCTTTAAGACTGATGGTTACAGAAATGAAGAACTACCTTATTTTACTGGAACCTCTTGGGTATTACAGCTTTAGCATGCTAGGGAATCTTAAGCAAATAAAATGTCAGTCTCTATCTACCGTTACGAATTTCAAGAAACGTTATCTTATAAACGACTTTAGCTCATCGCTGGAGAATGAATTTTCGGTTAAGGTGAGAAGTTCAAACGGCTCTATTTAGTCATTTCATAAAGGTTATGTCTCTCGCTCTACAAATGGCCCACAACAGTTGTTTGTTGTTGTTGGTTTTAATACCCAGAGAAATGTTATTGTTTTACTGAGAAGAAAATGTGTGTGTGACGTTTTCCTCAACACGGAGATCATAGTTACATATAAGTGTAAATAATTATTAATGATAGATAAGTATAAGTTATAAATAATAATTGTAATCTTGTAAATTTGAGCTAATAAAGACACACAATAGTGTGTCGTGCGGCCAAAACAACCTACAGGACACACAATAATGTGTTACTAACAAGAGTGATAATTTAGCGATTGTCCTCCATCTGTAGTTTGGACTGTGATAATCCAAACTATTACATATGCTCTACTGGAACCTTACTTCACATACCAAATTTGAAGGCAATCCATTAAGAAATACGCGAGATATAAAACCTCCAATTTTGATTAAATGTTTTCCTTTTTTTTTCTTCTTCGCAACAAAAGTGCGGAAACTTTATTTGATAAAAAACATATGTAATCTTTATGGATTTTTTTTTCAAATTTGGTACATCAATAGGTCTTTACAACCTACAATTAGGTGTCAAGTTTGATCTAAATATAAGCCACATGTGCAAAGTTATTTAACAAAGCTACTCAAATTTGACCAAAATTTTTTCGCACGCTTACGTAAAATGTCACGTCAGCTATCGATCTGAAATTTTTATTACAGATTCAACTAAGAGTAAAAGTGGACAGTGTTTAGTTTTTGTCATTCCGATTAAAGATAGCTGATTTAGAGCAGCAAAACTATAGGGTGAAAGCACGTGCAGATACATAAGTATTGGTTAAGCCAAACAATCTAGATTATCAATTTCTAGCTAAAATTTTCAAAACAAACGGGTGAACGGTTATTATTCATTTTTCATTGACATTTTTTAAACACAAATTTTCTAAATTTCATGAAATTCTCCCAATTAATGAGCTTTTAGCGTCACGTGATATTAGCTTAAGCAATTAGCGTAAATAATGATGCTTCATACGGCTGTACTGATTGCATGCGGGTGATGACAAGAAACTATTAATCTAGATTCCATGGCGTTTCTATAAAGAAAGTAATTAACACTGTTTTAGAGAGGAAAATCTACCACTATATTTTTAAAGAATCTGGATGGTTCTGTAAAGTAAAGCTCTGTTCTGAATAATACGTGTTGTGATCCTAAAGCTAATGTTGATTACTATCGAGTGTCACTTTCTTACTTGCTGTGGTTTGTTGGTGTGTATTGACAAAAAGTCATGATATCCAATCAAAAACACCTTAGATGTAAAAATAAAAGATGCGGCCAAAAAAGGACTGAGCGTGTGACTTAAAGGAATGAAATCAAAATTGGCGACCAAACTGGTACCTACATTGATAAGAATTTTACAGCAAATATTCATTCATTAGTGAGCTAGGTCGCGTATTTTGTTTTACCCGTCATCATGCCCCAAGTTGAATAAATCACGCGGCCTGGCTAACTAATGAATGAATATTTGCTGTAAAGTTCGCATCAATGCTATAAATGTAGTAACAAGTTTGGCTTCCAATTTTGGTTTCATTCCTTTAAGTCTCACGCTCAATCCTTCTTTGGCCGCATCTTTTTTTCACACCTAAGGTGTTTTTGATTAGGTAATTTATAGAAATACTTTTTTCAAATTCATATCAGCAGTTTGATCATTTGTATTTGTATGTTTCATCATTTTCCATAATAATTACAATTCTAATTAGAGACGGTTATGCTCAGATAGCCCCAGTGTAGCTTTTCTCGATAATTCTAAGAATCGAACCAAAAAATGTAAGTTTCGTTACCTTCTTATAGTTGTTATTCTCTAGATCTCAAAGATTATTAGCGATTAATTTGTTTTCGTTCTACATAGGGATTGGTATGTACAGCCTTTGATGGTCAATGCCTTCTACCAATCCTCCGGAAATGACGTCAGTAAGTACGATACAAGCTAGATTTAATTTGTTATTTTCTTTTATAATTGATTGTTTGTTTGTTTTTTTGCTTTAATTTTTCAGTATATTTTAATATGTGACTTGAAACTATCAATGAGCGAAGTTAAAATATTTTTTGAAACTTTGAATGTAACATACATTATTTTTGTCAACGTTGGCGCTAAACGTTTACTAACTTTGAAAATTAAAAATAAACCACGCTGTAATATCTATTATACGGTAGATTAATTCTGCATTATCAACAAATGAAAAAAGAGGAAATTACATAAAACTTCGGCTGTATTTATAAAATTCATGAATATCAAAGGTATATTTTGTTGAATTTTACAGTTTTCCCGGTGGGCATTCTACGTCCTCCATTGTTTGTGCCTGGTCGTCCACAGTAAGCATATTTTGTTCTTGATTTAAATATATTTACTTAACTATTGATAGGGATGTGCACTGGAAAGAGGTTGCAAGAGGGGAGACCATCTCCCAAACTAAAACTTAATTCCTGTGCACAACTCTGTATAAAGTTTAATCATTACACAAAAAGGAAAGTTAATTCGACGTTATGGTGCAGACCATGGTTTAGATAAAGTGTGTTTGAAATCTTTCCCCAGGATAAAATCTGTTCCTCAGACTCAAACTACGACAGTTTTTACAGTGTTTTATCTACTACTCTACAGGTAGTATTTTATATCCACACGTATTCCAAAGATGTCCCCTATAACAATTAGGAATATACTAGTCCTGAAATAACGTGGTCGAATTGCTCATTGTGCAAATACGCCTGTTGATGAGTGTCACTCACACAAATCACAGCCCGATATTCCGAAAAGCCATAGTCACTAAGGTCCGATATTCCGAAAATTGAACGTAAAAACAATTACTTATCTAGTCCTAATGTTCATTCAGGTTGAAGCATGTGTATAGAGTGTTATATTAGGGATATAAGCCGATAACATTATGAGGTATGTTTGTAATAATTCCAGAGACCTATATAGTTATTACCCGTAATGAAAGGTTTCTAATCTTTTGAAAAATTATGCCAAAGTTTTCATACTAATAATATAGAAACAGAATAAAAAAGTCGAATAACAGAAAGAAGAATGAAGCAAACTCCAGTACTAGTGGCGAAACATTTTCGGAATATCGATCTGTTTCTGTCACACTCATACATACCCCCCCCCCCAGAAAAAATAATCAGAAACTGCAATCTATTATGGAAGAGTAAATATCTTGTGCTATATATATATATATATAATACTAGATGTACTTCCGAAGATTCACCGAAAGTGTTCTATTTCAAGTGTTAATAAAACCAAAATTAAGAGTAGCAAATATTTTTATTTCTTGCTTTTGAAGTTCATATGTCATGTTGTAGCCTACAGAGTGCATAATTATTCTCGCGACTCATGGCATGCGCACGTTTTAGTGAAGTCACGACAGAACAAATTTCAATGTTAAGCGTCCCTTATATGACTCATTTTAGTGTATACTGACTGACATACAGCACATTACTGTATATTGGTGCGAGTGGTTAACACAGGTGACCCCTCCATACGGCTTTCGCTTCCATTTCGAGGAAATTATGGACGTAGCTTGATGTGGGTTTTCAAACAATGAACAAAATACTTTTTGACACAATCTTTCCACTGAATAAACACATTGGGTTATAAAACAAAAATACATAATATTCAAGGTTTGAGCTTAATATTTTCATGTTTTTTTTTTTTTTACGTGTGCATTTTACAAGGGTTAGCGTTATTATACTTACTATTTCGCTCACCAGATGTCTTTACTTATTGTTCCAGAGATAATGTACAACAAAAACAGGTGAATAAATAATCTAAGTTTATAATTTATGATAACTTGTGAAAAAAGAAAAACTATTAAATTATTCAAATTGTGAAGAATATTGTGAACATCCTAAATGTTAAAAAATCAACAATATATTTTTAGTATATGTATATATAAAATATTCAAAATTTACACAACTAAAAGCTGAGTTAAAATCGATAAATATTACAACCAGAAGAATCTTTAGTTATAACTTAAACTTTGACTTTCCAATCCATAAAGCACATTTGGAGTATTGTGTTCAGTCTTGGTTTCTTACCTTAGAAAGAACATTGAATTGTTGGAAAGGGCTCAGAAGAGAGCTACTAGAATGGTGGCTGCGATGGAAAGGTTGTCATATGAGGAGAGGTTAAGATCTCTGAAATTGTCTTCTGATAAAAGAATAGTTACAGGGGATCTGATTGAGGTGTTTAAGATTATTAAGGGAAATGATATGCTAATGCATAATCTGTTTTCGCATTTAATGGTGAGAATAGTAGGGCTAGGAGACATAAATATAAATTTTAGCAGGGTAGGAGTCATCTTCAGCTAAGACAGTTTTATTTTTCTAACAGGGTGGTTGACCTCTGTAATGGGTTGCTTTCGGATGTTGTGGAGGCAGTAAATTTAAGTGAAAGTTTAATAATTACATGAATAATACGGGCTGGCTTTGAAGATTTTTTTATTATTATTTAAGAGTTTACTTTAGAGGATGGGACAGCCTAGATGGACCAAGAGATCCCTTGTTGTCCCTAAACGTTGTGACTAAATGCAAAAAGAAAAACGATAATGCCAACACAGTTTCCCCAAGACTCCACACATTCTGTCACTTTGTTATTAACGCAAAACCGCTGAAATAAACCAGTTTCATGAAGATGGAAGAAATTGAGTAATGTATCACTTTAAAGACCAAACTGATGTAATCACTTTCAAAGTAGTTTAAACTTTATTTTAAGTTTGTATGAGAGATGGCGCTGAATTATTTGATAAACACTGTGTAGATCCAATCATTTCCGATATCTGTCATTTTGAAAGTATTCTTCTAGTCACAGCTGTATTGATATCATTAACGCATATGAGAATGATAAATGGGACTAATCACAATCATTAATTTATCATATTTTCAAATTATTTTACTTCTCACCGATGTAGATAGCTTACTTTTGATCAGAAATTATTGATAATGTTGACATTGTTATATGTTCCATAGGTTTATTTTCTTTGTTTATTGATTTAAAATTAAGTAAGTTTTGTAATAGTCCTTGGACACACAGGTGATTTGATTACTAAAACTTGTTTCCTCTACAGATACCTGAACTACGGATCTCTGGGTATCGTTATTGGTCACGAGCTAGCTCATAGCTTTGACACAAGTGGTAGGTTGTCAGTTTCTTTACAAAGTTAATGTGGTAATTCTAAAGGTGAATTATTAACATAACAGATGAAGTAATTTATAAATATATTATATAACGAAGCATCCATTACATACCATGTGACGATGAGTTTCGAATAAAACATCAGGAGTTTATGTTTTCACTTCTTTAGGTTTTTGAATATATGGTAATACAAAAAGCTATTTGTTTTGTTAATTTGTCATGATTATATTTAATAGAAGGAAGATTGTCTAAGCTATGCTGGAATTTTGGGTATCGTATTTATCTAAAAACAACATGTATGTGTACATTTGGACCTTATATTTTATCACTGTGTTTTTGTGAAATAAGATTGATCTATTTGATAAATTGAAGTTCATAATTAAAGTTATTTCGCTTTAGAATTTATTGATAATTAGGTGTTTTTTCCGAGTGGACATTGTAAAGTATTGCTTTACTCAGTATCTAACTCTCTAATCTGAGTATGCGTTTTGAATCGTAGTTCAACAAAACAATTCATTCAAATTTTGATTAAATGTAGATGAAATGTTGGATGTTAAAAAGGAAATAATAGGTTCTATTTTGGTAAAAGTGGGTGAATGATCAATAATATTCGTCCCAAATTTGTAAGGATTTTTAGTGTTTGATAGTTTTAAAAAAATAACTAACAGAAAAACGAAACCAAAATTCCGTTTATGATACGTTAACGGCCAATTAAAGAACTTACGAGAGTTGCAGAAATACCGTTTCACTAGTGTTTTTTGTTTATTTGTCTTTTTACCGTATAGGCTCCACATGGCAGGTGTCTAAGGCACTTGCCTCGCAGTCTGAGGATCGCGGGCTCGAATCCCCGTCCCACCCAAGATGCTCACCCTTTCAGTCCTGGGGGCGTTATAATTCGACGGTCCATCCCACTATTCATTAGTAGAAGAGTAGTTGGCGGTTGGTGTGATGACTAGCTGCCTTCCCTCTAGTCTTTTACTGCTAAATTAGGGACGGCTAGCGCAGATAGCCCTCGTGCAGCTTTGCGCGAAATTCAAACCGAACAAACCTTTACCGTTTATGTGTCACAAATATTACAGTGAATAGTAAAAGTTAGTCCCGGAAACATCGATTGAATTTTAGTGAAAGTAGGTCAAAGGACAACTTTACAGTCGATTCCTTTGACCTTTATTACAATGCTACTTTATGAAGAGTTTGAAAATTTCACTTTTCTCAAAACAGAACGTGATGCCAAGGTGCAACAATATTCTGGGTGAGAATTTTAAATCTTAATGGCACCTTGTACGTATTTAGGCTAAATGACTAACTCAGAATTCAGATATAGTTGTCCCAAATTTTCAATTACTGACCAGAATTAAGTTAGTCAGCCAGCATCATCCGCCACCACAAGGGATTTGCCCGGCTCTTTTGAACGAAGTAACAGGATTGAGTGTCATTTTTTATAGCGTTATAATGCGCCCACAGTTAATGTTGCGGAACGTATTCAGCGTCTCACACCACAGACCCTTCGATACACTGCCCAATACGCCAGTAGTTAGTTATTCTAAGGAAACTTTATCACCGCACATAAAACCTGGTGGCCTAGTCGGCGAAATAGAGGGTGGGAGTTTGGTAAATAATATTAATTTATTACTTTTTTTGACGACATTTAGCGATAGTTTAAGGCAGTTTCAAGTCACTAAGCATTGAACTTTTTAAATATATTTTTTAACTTTAAAGTAGCATGAGTGATTTTTTCTGATTTTTTAATAATAATTAATATAAAATCATTTACGTGCACTGAGCAGTGTTGTTTGTTTTGTTTTGGACAGTGTGCAGTGGAAACATTTTATCAGTGCACGAATCAGCTTCATAGCTGTACAATCTGTGCATAACTGTAGGTTAAAATAGCCTATGCGACATGCTGACCACTGAGCCACGCCCAGCCTTTTTATGTGGATGGATAGGAAATGCTCATTACTATACAATGATTTTTTAATTCTAAAGCCACGTTTTGGCTTTTAGCCCCCTTTTCTGGGCCAGGCATGACTGGGTGATTAAGGCGCTCGACTCGCAATCTGAGCGTCGCGGGTTCGAATCCCCGTCACCGAACATGATCGCCCGTTCAGCCGTGGGGGCGTTGTAAAGTGACGTTCAATCCCACGATTCTTTGGTAAAGAGTAGCCCAAAAGTTGGCGGTGGGTGGTGTTGACTAGCTGCCTTCCCTTTGGTATATCACTGCTAAATTAGGGACGAATTGGTCAGAAAGCCCTCGTGTAGTTTTGCGCGAAATTCAAACCAAACCCTTTTTCTGTTTTAATTCTTCCTCCACCCACACTCTGCTGAACTTGCCTTATGCAAGCAAAGGACACTTCTCGTAAGAGAAAAAACAAAAACACAAATCTGGATCCTACATACATTACAAACTTACCCAGCAGCAGCAGTCTAAGCCTAAGGTTTACCTTGAAGCAATATTAAACAAGAAATGTTCATAACTATATTATCCATTACGTCTTTCTTGGCAGGTAGGAAGCTGGACTTGTCAGGAAACTCGACACAGTGGTGGTCTGAAGATGTAAGAGAAATCTTGCAGGAAAAGGTCGCATGTTTTGTTGAACAATATTCTAAATTTCCGCTCAAAGAAGTGGGTCAAAATGTAAGTTACCAACTTTATTCAGATATCATGTTTATAATTGGAAAAACAATAAAGCATCTATAAAAATACAATATTCATAAAAATTAAAGTACATTTAAGTTTGAGATGTTTAATATGTTTTTCGAAGTTTGAAGATACAAACAAAACAAAAAAAACAAACAAACAGAGAGAGACGTTCAGTATTGACGAAACTTGTTTATGACGCATATCACAGGTAAATAATAAAAAGCAAGCCAAAAATTCATTTTCCAATAACACAAATGCAAAATTAATGAAAAATGTCAATATATGGCTGCACAACCATCAAAGAAAAATAACTTATTAAGACGATAAAACTTAAGAAAATTAGTCTTTAGTAGCTGGTAGGTTCTCTATTGTTTATGATTTCTTCTGCACCTGTTCGAGCATGGCCAGGTGGTTAGGGCGCTTGACTCGCAATTTGAGTGTCGCGGGTTCAAATCCCCGTCCCACCAAACATGCTCGCCCTTTCAGCCATGGGGGCATTATAATGTTACGGTCAATCCCACTATTCGTTGGTAAAAGATTAGCCCAAGAGTTGGCGGTGGGTGGTGAGGACTAGCTGCCTTCCCTCTAATCTTTCACTGCTAAATTAAGGACGGCTAGCGCAGACAGCCCTCGTGTAGCTTTGCGTGAAATTCAAAACAAAACAAATTACACATGTTCTACATACTGCTGATGACATTTCGGATTACTTGCTAGAGCAGCACAATCTAGCTTTGAGCTCCTGGAGAGTCGTAGAAGTCTCTAAATCCTCTCTCCAGCAATTCTCACACATGCTCAATTGAATTTAGATCCAGTGACTTAGCAGGCCAGTTCAATACCTCTATTCCTTCATTCTGAAAATTTACTGCGTGATCCTGGCGAATTCATCTCCAACAGCGCCAGCAAAAGGGCGAACAATGGGTAACAGGATCTCATCCATGTAACTTCTTGCTATCAGGGATCCTCCATCCACCACATTGAGGTCTGTATGCCCCTGTATGCAGATGCCACCCTATACCATGACTGAGTCAACCCCAATAGCGTTATGGTAGACATTGTTACAGGCCGAATATCGCTCTCCCTCACGCCTCCAGACCCATAAATATCGACCTCTTGAAGATAAACAGAATCTACTCTCAACTGTGAACAGTTACGGGGATCTATTTCTGAAGGGTCGAGGTGAAATGTTCCTGAGAAGCACCAGATGGTCTGTTCGGTGCTTTGGGGTTGATACAAAGGTTCTAACTGATATCTTGGACCTGAGTTTAGCCTTTGACCTTTGAGCACGACACACACATTCCAGTGGCTTACTGAAGCTCATTCCTGAAGCCCCTACCGCTGCTGGTGCGGTTTCCAAGGGCTAGATTTCACAGATATCGGTCGTCTACTGCACCTGTATCCCTTCTGCGACCCAGGCCTGGCCTCCTGTGGTCTAGTATCTGCAACACAATCTACTGACCACAGATTGTGATACCGTCCTGAAGCAGTGTGACGGCTCTGCAAACTTCCGTTTCAGTTAAGTGGTTTCTAAGGCTTGCAAACTCTTTTCAAAAGTCAATGCCAGCAAACAAATCCATAAACCTAACACCATTTCAACACTAAACATCTATTCTACTCAGTTAAATCTAGATTTTTACTTTACAGAATTTTGGTCATTTCTCATAAAGGCCTATTATATAAGGAACCAATCTAAAAATATATAAATTTATCCAAACCTCATTATCTTTTAATGTTTGGGGGTGGTGTACTTCTAAAATACAGCTTCAAATGGGTAAATCAAAAACTTTTATTGTAGTGTTGTTTCATTTCTACAGGACATGATCACATTGAACTACTGCTACACACTCAGGCTTCACACTAGTCTTATCAACTGATAAAAAACAATACCAGCATTCATAAAACTTTACAAGTATTTGTCAGAAGAAATAGAAACGTATGTCTGACAATTTGTTTATACTAGGGTTTTTATTCCTATTGTTAAGCCTTCTGATACTTTTATTTTACTAAACAACTGTATTATTAGAATCTTGTTTTTACTCTTTTACCCTCCTACCCAATATGATAAATCTGACTGTCCTTTCACTTAATATGATAAACTGCACCATTTGTATACTGACAAATGGTTTTGTGCAACTTTTGCTTCTATGTTTAAACCATGTATGGTACTTATCTCTTCCACAACCTAATTAAGTTCCTACTTACTTCGCCTGCATATGATATTGAACCATAAACACTGTTGTAAGTTATATTTCAGTGTTAAATTTTTTATATGTTTGCTAGAGGGTGCATGACATTATGATCAAGCAAGTTCATAAAAATAGTCCTAGAGTACCTAAAAAGTTCACAATGACGCCAAGAATCTAGCAATTTCGGGATTTTGAGCGTTTTGAGACAGGGGAACATTGTTTATAAATCCGAGTTAGTCAACTGAAGTAAGGAATGAGAAGTCAATGAGTAGTAATTGAGAAGTTAATGAAGTATTCAATATGTGAATGATCGAGTGGTTGACGGCCGAGTACAGTTATTCAATTACAGTTAGTGCTTCTGTTAAACTAATCAATAAGTTAGTCAGGTTTGTTACTAATATTAGATTATTAGGCCTACAGTACTTACAGAGCTTATGTTGAAAAAATTGTTTGTGAGCCTAGGCCTACAGCTTGCGCTAAAGTGAATATAGACGGTAACAAAAGTTATTTAAAAAATAATTTGATTCGTTATCGTTACATGAACTGGCCTTGGCAACATGTTTACAAGATAATTCAAAAGAGCCCAACCAAGTACAGAATATTTTAGAACAATACAATGATTATTAGCATTTGCTTCTTTAAATGTTGTGTTCTTAAAAGTTTCTATATACCTTACATTAATAAACTAATAGTTTCCCCTTAATTTAAAACTCCTTATATTTAATATGCTTTGAAGTTTTACTGCAAAATGAAGTTAATGTTCCTTTTTTCAACAATTGTTAGTTGCTTGCCGGTCAGGAGATGCTCAGTGACGTGAAACCTCTCGTTACAACGAAATATTCTTCTGTTTTTTTTTATTGTTGTTGTTGTTGTTTCTTTTTTAAATGATATTTTTCGAAGGGTAAAGAAACTGGTTAAAACTTACACCAAATTCTTGTATCATAATAACTTTCACACGAATATTCTGTACTCATGTTTCTGCAGTTTTTTAGTCTTCTGTATTCGGTAATATCCAGGATCCCTGCGTAGAAAAAGTCACCATGTACGAGAACGCCACCCACCTCCATTTTCAGAATTCGGCTGTGGGTTTGTTAGAAATGAATACCCTAACACTGCCAATGAACGTTTTCGTAGCAAAGACATAAATCCTCACTTCAATTCTTTATAGAAAAAAAAATTTCCGGACACCTATATTGTACACAATAAAACGAAAACCTTCATACGCCTAGGCCCTAAGCTGTCCATGAATCATCGGATATACAATGTGCATAATAAAACCGAAACCAAAACTTTCGTACACTAAGTTTTTCCATGAATCATTGGATAGGGGTATTTTACATAGCCTGACCAAAACCTCTGTATGCATATATTCGTAACCTCTGGTTGTTCTTGAATCATTGGACGGGTACCGTACTGTATATAGGTGGGCTGAAACCAAAACTTTTGTACGCCTAGAATGCTCATGAATCATTGGACAAGTGCTATATACAGTAAGGTCAAAACTTGTATACACTTAAATTGTTCATGAGTCATTATATGTGTACTGTACGTAGTAAGATCGGAACCAAAACCTTCGTACACCTAGACTACGCATGAACTTATATATATACTGTAATTATACATAATAAGACTAGTGTTGAATTTAGGAGGTGTACAGGGGAGGGGGATTTCCTCCATGTGCAAACAAGTTTCTCCCTGATATATTTTAACTATTTTGTCTTTTTTTATAGATGTTATAATCCATTCCTTCAGCTTCACATTCCCCCTCCCTCCCGTGGAAGGGTCTGGATTCAACACTGATTAAGACAAAATCAAATTCCTGTACGCTCAGGCTGCTCTTGAGTTTTTAGATGTGTACTGTGTAGTAAATTGAAAGAGCTTCGTATGCCTAGGTTATTCATATGACGATTGATATGTCATGTATACAGTAAAGTAAGAACTCGATCGTTCTTTTTCCTTGTGTTACGTCTCTGTTCGTTTGTTAATTTCCCGTAAAATTTCTTCTCGAAGAACTTCAGCGATACAAGTACTTTCTTAAATAAAACTAGTTTATTCTTTCTCAATACAACTTTGCAATATACAGAATTTCCAGTCACTTTAACTTAAATACACACTATAATTCACAACGATTCACGCACTTTACTTAGGACTTGACTCGATTATCTGTCTCTATCTCTTCAATCTGCAATTATTCTCGTTCCGATCTATTGTCTCGCTTTATCTGGCGGGCTTATATACAAGAATATACAAAAAGAGGGCGCATAGAAAAGACTAGAGTTGCCACGAACAGACGTGATCCTTCTAGAATCTCATGACGTGTTACTAGCGTCACGTGACTTCCGCTGTCGTATCACTGCCCCTTCCTTAGTATTGTTCGTCCCGAACAATAGCCACTTACATTAAACCAATAGACAATTAACAATAACTTAATTAAATGTACAGAATTTACAAACACAAAATTAAAATTCAAAAAAGTACTCTTAATTTTACGGGACGTATCTTCTTCCGTACTGTTCTCCGTCTCGTTGGCTTCTGCTTCACGTGTGGTTCATCTGCTCCATCAGGAAATGTCCTATTATCGGTAATAGTCAAATCAGTGGTAGTAACTTCATCAAGGGCTTCACTGTTTCCCTTCAAAAAACCGGGTAGAGTTTATTCTTCGACAATGACTTTTCCAAATGACACGTCTTCAGCGGCGTCTTTTGTTCCGTTGTTCACATCGTCCCAACTGGAATGTCCTGGACCGTGATAATGCCACAGCGTGTTGGCATGCACCACCTTTGGCTTACCTCGCCGACCACATTTTATCTG